AGATTCAGGTACTTCGGGAGCTTAGTTGAGCTAGCCGCTGGTTTCCAGAGTTCCAGGAGTGGTCGAGGTAGCTGCAATGACGTCCGCAGGACCCGACTCCTCTCTTATCCCTTTATTATTTTCGTACTTTAGAACATACTTATTTTGAGGATTCTTGACTCTGTATTAGTTAGAGGCTCTAGACTCATGACCCCGGATCTTTGGGAGTTACAGTTTATGTCAGTATTTCGTATTGTTTTAATTGAGTATTTCAACTATGAGTATTAATATTTGATTTTAAGTATCTGATTAATTGGTTTTGAGCTCTGTGCTCGGGTTGAGAGAGTAAATGGTCGGGCTTGCCTAGCATTAGTGTTGGGCGCCATCACGACCGGGTTTGGGGTCGTGACAGCTGTGTTGGGTTGTAATTTCGTTAATTAATATTAGTAAGTCATATTTTTGCTAATCATTTATGCTTAACTATTTTGAAAGAGACGAGTTGGGTTAGTTGGCTGGCCTTGTCCTCACGAGAGGCGCCATCACGACCAGTGCGGCGTTTGGGTCGTGACATAGTGCCATCATAGAGTTGTTACCTGGTTCATCATCTTCTCCAAATTCGCTTGATGAATCTCCCCATGGATCAAGAGCTTGTCTCACGACATCGTCAGCGACGTTTTTTCTATTGAAACGTCTATCAGGAATCGGGTTCCTTTTGGCTGCTTTATCAGAGTTGTTCTCGTACTGATTCTGCTTTAAGAGAGGGCAATCCTTGATGAAATATCCTGGCTTGCCAAATTTATGACAGAGGTCATAATTCTTTGGCTTGCTAGAATTTCCCCTTTTTGGAATGCCTCCATTCCAGCAAACCATCTTCTGGAATCTTCTTGTTAGGTATGCCATATCACCATCCTCACCACTTGAGTCATTGCTTTCTGTCCTGAGGACCAAGTTCTTCTCCCTCTTGGGCTCTCTTCTTTCATTGTGCTTCTTCTTCTTCTTCTTCTTCTTCTTCTTCTTCTTCTTCTTCTTCATTTCATATGTTTTTAGATTGCCAACAAGCTCATCAATAGTTAGATCCTGCAAGTCCTTCGCCTCTGTAATGGCGTTCACTTTGCTTTACCAAGAACTGGGCAGCACACTGAGGATTTTTCTAACCAGCTTGTTTCTTGGAATAGTTTCACCAAGGGAGTGAAGCTTATTAATGATGGAGGTGAACCGGGTATGCATTTCTTGGACAGATTCATCGTCTTGCAACCTGAAGAGCTCGTATTCAGTTGTGAGTATGTCGATTTTGGATTGCTTGACCTGTGTTGTTCCTTCGTGAGCTGTCTGAAGGGCTTCCCAGATTTCTTTGGCTGCATGACATGCTGATATCCTATTGTATTCATCAGGACCAACACCACATACCAGAATTTTCTTTGCACGTAAGTTCTTCTCTATGACCTTTCTATACGCACCATTGAATTCTTTCCTTGTCTTGGGAATGGCTACAGGTGGGTCGCCAAGGTTTTTGGTAGGGACAAAGGGTCCATTACATGTGACATCCCATAGCTCAGAATCTTCAGCCATGATGAAGTCATGCATTTTAGTTTTCCACCATCCATAATATTGTCCATTGAATCTAGGTGGTCTGTAAGTAGACTGGCCTTCTTCGATGTTTGGAGGAGCAGCCATGAGGATCCTTTCTAGGTGTTAACCTGATAGAAAGAAGCTGCTCTAATACCAATTGATAGAATATAAGGGTCCACCAAACTCTATAGAGAACCAGGTTCTCTATCAGATCCACTAGAACACACGCACAGCAGTAAGTAAATGACAGGAGGAATTTTACGTGAAAAATTTCTAGCTCAACGAGATTAAAAACCACGACCTACCCTTGTAGGATTTAAACTTGACTATTGAGTAACTTTTAAATTACAACCTATGCAACCTAGGAATTAACCTCTTAATCCCTCACTAAACTTGTAACACACCTATTACAAGCCACTTTGTAATACCTCTATTACAAAGACTTCGCAACTCGACTAACTCTAGCCAAGACTCAAACACAAAGGTTTAAGATTTACAAAGGTTTTCCTACACACTGCTTCTTAGTAAGCTAAGTAGGAATTATAGGTAAGCACATTAACAAAGTTACAACTTAACTAAGGACATACAACGACTCGATGTGGGAACTGGTCCGTAGTTGTTTTGTTCTTTGTTCTTGAAGCACTTGAAACTTGCTTGCTGGATAGTCACGTGAGTGAGCTTGTCAAATGTTCAAGTGAATATGTTTTACCTTCCTTGATTGTATATATACATGTGTGACATCACTTACAATGATGTAAGCAGTGTAGGTAAAAAGTCTTCCACAGAAAGTTAACTGTTGCACTGTTCCTGCACTGTAGCGTGTGCAAGCAGCAACTTTCCAGCTGGAGAGTTGACTTCGTACAGTCTACTCGGGAACTGGTAGGGACCTGTTCCCTCAGGTGTTCCTTCCACTCTGAAGAGTTGAATCATATCCCGCGCTGAATCCCAATCTGCCAACTTTAAAAAAATTAAGCCCAGGTGGCTTTAAAACTTCTAAAGCCTTATATGATAGGAATCTGATAATGCCCATACGTATTCTTTTAATGGTTTATAACATAGAAACCTAGTTTTTTCTTCTTTCTATACTCAGCCGCCACACATGAAGACTTATTCTTCAGATTTAGTTTTTTTTTTAATAAACTTAGAAAAATAAAAAATTGAAAGAACCCTTGTTCCTTATCGTTCACCTATTTTGTGGAAGAGAGAAACCTTTATTTCTTCTTCTTCTTCTCATTTTTCATAGCCATTGAAGCACTAAGCTCCAATCCCCCCTCTCTTCTTTTTTTTTTTTGAAAAAAAATTATACACATATATATAAATTTCAGAGAATAGAGAAAGGAGAAGCCATGGCTCTCTAACGTTCTTCCTCTCCATGGATTAAAATAAGGGAGTTTACTAGCCGTTTCTTAGAAGACCTCCACCAGCCGCGGCGGTGGATCTCAGGCGGCGATGGAAGCGGGTTTGCTGATTGAGAAAATTATTAAAAAAAAATTGATTTCCCTTTTTTGTGGTATTTTTGATCAGTTTCAGAAAAAAGGCTCTTCAATAAAATTTCAAATCATTGTTGAATATTGATATACAATTTCAATTACATACAAAAATTCATAAATCTTACTGAACACTGATTTTTTTAATCAGATTCTGAAAATCGATTTCAGATTAAATTTTAAAAAAAATCATTCAAAAGTTAAACTCATTAACTAGTTCCAATTGCACAGCAGATTATTCATTCAAAAAAATATATATACACATAGTTCTATATTTACACAGAGTAATAGAACTATTCTAATAATTTTTCGGACCAAAAAACCAACATATGGCTCTGATACCAATGAAGGAATGCGATAAGTCTAAACACATAGCGCGTAAATCGTAAAACGAGAACTTACTTGTTCTTCGTGAAGGGAAGCGAAAATCTGAAACGAACCGCGGCTGGAATCACTGGTCGGTGGTGATTGTCACGGTGTGTTGGAGGAACCCCTATTGCACAGTCTAAACCCTAGTCTGACTTGAGGAGAAGAGTAGGCGTAGGAAAATACTGTAGAGTGTCTTTTTTTTTTATTGTACATAGTAAGTGTATTTATATAGGGAATACTAGGGTTACAGTAATTACTAAAATTACTGTATTTTGCCCTAGTGGGCCCTAAGAGTACCCCTTATGGGTGGACTCTATTTCCTACATGAAGTTTCGACGAACAAGGTGGATGGGAAGATATGTTGTTAGATCCATATTTTCAAAATCTATATACTATATTAAAAGCATGAAGCATCTTAACGACCTCGTAAAATAGATTTCACATTAGATAAAGTTATAATTTAAGATAATTTCCTATATAAGTCTTTAAGATCAACTTAGTTTTTAAATTTCTCCTTATCAAACTAGATAAGAAGTACTTATACTTAAGAGTTCTAAAATCAATTAAAATTTTACCTTATTAATCAAACAATTTGTTTACGATCAATCACAAGATAACACCATTTTCTTAAAGTTAGATGTTCATGCTTTGAAGACCGTAAAATACTTTGTTAACTAACGCAAAAAGAACTTGCTGCAAGAACTAAGAGTTAGTTCACTTCTTCCTCGTGGTTTTTCAGACTCTTCACGATCTATTTGTTCCCGTTTTTTCATTAATCTCTCGCCTTTTATTTTTCTTCTTTTCTTCAATTGAAGTTTGGAGTGATATAAGAACTTGGCCAATTTTCAAATTCATTTTGACTAAACGATTCGTTAATTATCTTATTGCTAATTAGAGAATTCTTTTTCTTCAACAAATAAACGAGGAAATCCTTACAATCTTTGGTATTACCTCCAACTTTTGTTTGTTTTAGGATAAAACTTGTTTGGAATGATATACCCATTATGATATTAACAGTTTGTATTTGTATGTATAAATATCAAATTTTTATATGATTACATTGGGAAAGGGAGATTAAAATGATTAATAGAATTTGACATGAATATCTTTTAAAGGTCCATTTTTAAAGAAGAAATCCAATTTGTTAGCTGGAATGAAAATCCAAAATAATCAAATCACTTAATTTAAAATGAAACTCTAAGAGTGTAACAACCCGATCGGTCTTTTTACTTTCTAGATCCCCGTTCCCCTAAATAAGACTCACCGTATGTGCTTCTACCATTTTATGACTTGTGGAGATGATTAGTTCCAGATTTGGAAGGATTCGGGTTGAAGTCAGAACAACTTGGTTCCTTAGTTTGGCTTTAAGAGGCTAAGTTTGACTTTGGTCAATATTTTGAGTAAATGACCTTGGAACCGAGATTTGACGGTTCCAATAGGTTCGTATGATGATTTTGGACTTGGGCATATGTTCGGACGGGGTTTTGGATGACTCGGGAGCGTTTTGGTCGACCAAGGGTAGTTTCGAAATTTTGCATATATTGAGGGATAAATTGGTAAATCTACCACTTAGGTCATAGATACATCTTTGCATAATCCGTATCTTTCCCTTTCTATCAATATCTCTCTCTTTGAAGAAGCACTCCCTCAATCTCTCTCTCCATAAGCTAATATCTCTGGGTTTATATACTTCTTCATCTTAAGGTACTTCTTTTCTTTTTTATTGTTTTGTTATGTTTTTGTCGGCTTTCTTCTCTATCTCTGTTTCACAAGACATATCTAGCTTATAGTTTCCAAGGTACTTTTTTCCCCTTTAATTTTGTGTTAATTTTTATCAAACTATCAAAAAGGAATCTTTCTGATGTGGAAGATAGAACTTCACAAAAAAACTTAAATTATAGATTCTCCACTGTAACAATTCACGGAATAGCCCCCAATTCGTTTTAATCATTTGTATACCTAAGCCAATCAGATAATAAGAAAGGGCAACGATGCAGACAGAGAAGATAAATTTGGCTGAAATTGGTTACACTACAGGAACCAATCTTTCCTATATCGTGACAAAGAAACAAAAAATATTGAAGTAGACTATGCACATATGGTATTTGATGATATGGCTTGTCCATCTTATGTTAGTGTGTGCTTACTGATTCTTTTGAGCATTTTCTTTCACTATTCTGTTTCTTTTTTGATGAAGTTCTTTTTTTTATGAAGTTCTTTATTTACGCTTTTATTTGAAAGAGCAAGTCAGAGAAAAGAAGCGCTTAGATAATACCTTATCTCCAAATTTTCTACGTCGAATCTAAAAAATGATGAACTTTTTTTATTGAAACATTTTGTATATTTCCCTTTCATCGTTATTGTTATCTTTGAGACAAATGTTTTCATGTTATTTATTCGAAATTTCTTCGGTCTCTTTGAAAGTGTACGTGGAAGGTGATGCCTCCACTAATAGCTACCTCCTAAATGATGTTTGATAGGATGGAACAAGAGAAAGCTCCAAGGAAGACACCAAACCCAGCCTATGGTCGTTTGTTCACATAAACATAACAAGAGGAAGTTGGAAATATGAGTATCAAAGAGAGGTAACTGACAAAAAGACTATTTCAAGTAAGTCAGGATGTACTTTTAAAACAATTCTTTGTAGTTGAAAGTAAAAAGGGTACGATAATTTATTATGTTACACTGTTGCCATTTAGTAATTCTGATTGTGTATTAATGTGAAGCCTTTTTTTCCCGTTGTTAGATTGTGATGGTCCTATTGAAGTTTAGGTACATAGTATAAGATTTATTCAACAGTCTCCCCTTGCACAACAGGAAATCCTAAAAAGAATGTTAAGTAATGCAAAGGTCGTGGCTTTGGCCACCCTCGCTTCAGCTAATCGTCAAGACAAAGCCAAGTTGATTGCACATTTAATGAAATGAAAGAAGTGAAAGTTAGGATGCTTATGGTGTTGAATTATAATATTTAGGGTTAATTTGATGGACTAACGTTTTAGGATATCCATATGGAGAACATCAATTTGTCTTTGATGGTTCTGTTGGCACTTTCATCTGGAAGGCACTG